AGTGTTGGAAGAGGCTTACAATCTAATCTTGTCCTTGCCAGAACCAGTGGACTGCGGCATTTGGGGAGCCCTGTTATTGTGCTGCGATGTCTGTGGAAATTCTGAGCTGGCAGAAATTGTAGCCCAGAGGCTCTTTGAGAGTAGTTCTGAGAAAGGTGCTTATAGAGTCATGCTTTCTAATATATATGCTGGCGATGGGAGGTGGGATGATGCAAAGAAGTTGAGAGATCACATAACAGAAGGCAAACTGAGGAAGATAACGGGGCTTAGCTGGATTAAAGGTAGTGAATTATTGTTTGATCAAAATCTTCCTTGTATTGGGCTATAAACATCAATTCACAAGCTATCTTTGCTACGAATACGAATGATAGATTTTTTTTAAAGTACTGAAATTTGAAAAGGCCCTTACTTTTTGAGATAAGCAAAATGGTTTGGAATCTTGAATTGGTTTTGTTTGTTTTAACTTCATGTTTTATCATCTATAACATCAACTCCTCTTATGGCTTCATATACGGACTCCATTGTGTGAAGAAACACAAATATACCAGAAAGCTTATAACTTTATCCTTTCACCTGCATTGGCTCACCCCTCCATCCGAGCTTCTCCAAACTTTATCATATCTTTATATTTCTTTACCTGTAGCCAATTGTTGCACCATAGATATGGTAATAAATGATATATTTGGCATGTGCCTGAATTTGTAATTCTCCTCTCCACCATCAGGTTTTAGCCGTTCCGCATGATCATCCAGTAAAGGCAACAAGTCTAACTGCTGCAGTGTGGTGACAAACTGCAAACCTTCAGGTAAGATCCTCGGCCACACGCAGACAACTGTGCAAGTGGAGGAATTTCAAGCTAGGTAGTGCTCCCTCTTCAAGTTGCGTCCAGTCCTCAAGAATATGAGAAGCAAAGCTGAGAACCTCGAGCTTGGGAAACCCACCAGCACTACAGAACTCTTTCCCCATTCATTTTGCATCATAAGCGTTCCAAAGGGTCAGATTTTTCAAGTTGGGCAGCAGATGAATTACCAGTTACGAGTTCTCAGACATATGAGAGTTGCCTAATCTTAAAGTTGTAAGCCTTTCCAAGGAACCAAATGAAGTAGGTAGCTTTTCTAGGACACCTTCCAGGCGAAGCTTTTGAAGAAATGGTGGCGGTGAGAATGAATCCAGGAGGATAATCCCTTGTCGAAGGCGTGTTTAGCTTCTAGAGACAAGGAAAGAAGGCCTGGCATCTTCGTTATGGAGGCAAATAGCTCACTGATATTCTCTTCAGCCACATCCATCACTCCAAGTCTTCTAAGCTGTATCAGGTTACCTAATTCTTCAGCAATTCCACCACCAGCATGTATAGCTGTGAGGGTCAGAAGATTTTTTAAGCTTCCTATTCCTGCAGGTAGCTTCATCCCATGAACATCTTGGAACATGCTCTTGAACATTTTGAGGTGCCTCAACCTTACAAGATTGAGTATCTCGTCCGACAAGGCTGTTAAACACCCACACCATCTGATATTGAAAGTTTGTAGTGCTTTTAATCTACAGATTCCCTCTGGAAGCTCAATAATATCTGTGTGGATCAAGCCAAGATACATGAGGTTTATCAGGTCTTGCACTTCATCTGGTAACCTTTTAATTTTGGTGCCTTCTAGATCTAGCACCCTTAAATAGTTTGTACCATTAAACTGTAACCAATTACCACCATAGCGAAAAAGATTATGATTTCCAAGCAGGAACAAAGAAGTAGGTTGAAGTTGGAGATTGTTCAAGTGGGATGAGAGTTTTGTGATGTCCGAAGACTCCGAACAAATTAAAGCCCGAACAGTTGGAAAGGTTCCTTCTTCCATTTGGTGAAGACAGAATTCTCGAAGAGGAGATGGGAGCTGCAATCTAGTCCCTCTGCAAGGGCGGTCGTCCTTAAATTGAAGCATTCCCCGGCTGATCAATTCATATATGTTTTCTTCTGCTACATCCTCCATGATCTGCCCTGCGATTGCTTGTACCAGTCCTTGGGGCACTAGTAACCGAATAAGTTTCCCTTTCGGAATCCAGTGGTTCTCAGGGTAGATGGAACATTACATTAAGCATTGGAGAAGATAATCGGGTAAATCTCTGTAGCATAATTGCAATGGAACAGATGAAGAAGAAGCTGATGTCTCACCTTCTTTACTCTCTTGAGAGTCTTTGTTTTCTTCCACCCCTCCTTCAATCGTATTTAAACTAGCCATAGAGTTCTAAAAACTGTGTTTTGCATTTATAATGGTTAGAGTCGTTGGACCTTATGTTATAGGGTATGTTAAAGTCCAGCATGTTGTAGTGTTGTAGAATAATTTCTAAGAAAGCTTCAAGGAGAGCAAACAAGGTGACATATACTACAAAACATAGCATATATATCCAAACTAAAATTACGATGTAGAGTCTAACGATGCTACATGATGTGACTTTGTGATGGTAACAGATGCTTGTAATTTGCGATGGTTGAGCTTTGTATGGCAAGCAGTCTGCTTTTCTTGCTATACGAACAAAATCCTCCACACTGATCTTGTAAACTAGATTTAATATGAACTTTTCCATGTGATTAAAAATCGAAGAAGATGAGTGCATAAATTTATGAAATTATCAGTTTTACGAATCGTTGGATTTTATGCAGTCAATGATGACCCTCACTCAGCTTGTAAGTTGTTTGAGTAAAGTCCCCGCCAAAGCTTCTACCTTTGGAATTCCATTATTGGAGCCCACGTTCAAACCCACAAATTTGAGGATTCATTTTCTCTTGTAAGGTCAAAATCTTCTTCGTTTTTTAGATAATTGAAATGCTTTGCAATATTGGATTGTTGAGTGCTTGTTCTACCTTCTGGTTTTGTAAGCAGCTCTGTGGTGATGCATAAAGAAGCCCAGAGATAGCTAACTTGTAAATTGTAATCACTCCATAAGTTTAACAAAACAAATCAGCTAACAACATCAATCTGTTTTCCTCAACATTTATCTAACTGATGATTGCAAACGAAAAAAAGTTTTAAAATTGCATACATAATAGAAAATACCAACTCCTTTTATGGCTTGATAAATTGTGTGGAGAAACACATTATTTTAGAAAGCTTGTAACTTTTATCGTTTCACCCACATGGGCATCCCTCTCCCTGAGCTTTAACGACTTCTTCCACCATAGACGTTGTCATACCTCTCTCTGAGCTTTAACGACTTCTTCCACCATAGACGTGGTCATCAATCTAATCATTGGAATGTGGCTAATTTTGTAGTTTTCCTCCCCACCATCAGGTTTCAGACGCTCTGCATGATCATGCAGCAAAGGCAGCAAATCCATACGCTGCAGTGTTGTGAGGAACTGCAAGCCTTCAGGTAACATCCTCAGCCTCAGACAATTGCGCACGTAGAGGTATTTCAAGCTAGGTAGTGCTCCCTCTTCAAGCTCCGTCCACTCCTCAAGAACACGAGAAGCAATGGTGAGTTCCTCGAGCTTGGCAAACCCACCAGCGCTACAGAACTCTTTTCCTATTTGTTTTCCATCATAAGCATGCCAAAGGCATAGATTTTTCAAGTTGGGTAGCAGTTGAAGTACCGAAAACTGGTTCTCGGGCATGTGAGAGAATCCTAATCTCAATTTTGTTAGCCTTTCCAAGGAACCAAACCAAGAAGGTAGCTTTTCTAGGACGCCTTCCAGGCGAAGCTTTTGAAGAAATGGTGGGGGTGAGAATGAATCCAGGAGGACAAGTTTTCCCTCGTTGAAGGTGTGAATTGATTCTAGAGACAAGGAAAGAAGTCCAGGCATCTTAGTTATGGAGGCAAGTAGCTCACTGATGTTCTCTTCAGCCACATCCATCACTCCAAGTCTTCTGAGCTGTATCAGGTTACCTAATTCTTCTGCAATTCCACCACCAGCATGTACCCCTGTAAGGGTCAGAAGATTTGTGAAGCTTCCTCCTATTCCTGCAGGTAGCTTCACCCCCTGAACATTTTGGAACCAGTTCTTGTACATTTTGAGATGCCTCAACCTGACAAGATTGAGTATCTGGTCCGGCAAGGCTGTTAAATGCCCACACCATCTGATATCGAAAGTCTGTAGGGCTTTTAATCTGCCAAGTCCCTCTGGAAGTTCTTCTATATCAGTGTGGTTCAAGCCAAGATAGATGAGGCTTATCAGATCTCCCACTTCATCTGGTAACCTTTTGATTTTGGTACGCTCAAGATCTAGCACTCTTAAAGAGTTTGCACCATTAAACTTGAGCCAGTTACCATCGTCTTGAGAAAGATTTTTCCTGAGCAGGAATAAAGAAGTAGGTTGATGATTATTCAAGTGGGCCAACTGTTCTGTGATGTCTGAACAAACGAAAGCCCGAAAGGTTGCAACATCTCCTTCCTCCATTTGTTGAACACAGAATTTTCGAACAGGAGAGGGGACCTGCAATATAGTCCTTACACTAGAAAGTTGCTCCTTGAGTTGAAGCATTCCCTGGCTGATCAATTCAGATATATTTTCTTCTGCTACATCCTCCATAACATGCCCTGCTTTTTCTTGTATCAGTCCTTGGGCCACAAGCAACCGAATAAGTTTCCCTTTGGAAATGCCATCTGGGAGGATGCAACAATACATTAAGCAGTTTTGAAGGTAATCAGGCAAATCTCTGTAGCATAATTGCAATGGAAGAGATGAAGAACAAGCCGATGTTTCCCCTTCTTCATTCTCTTGGGAATTTTCGGTTTCTTCCATCTCTCCTTCTATGGCATTTGAACTAGCCATAGAGTTCTACACACTGTGTTTTGCACTGCATACATAGAAGAGAAAGACAGAAATATATAATGTTATAGGGTATGGTTAAGTTAAAGAATACAAGTTAATATGCTTTGCCGTTTGCGAGGACAGCAACAAGAGGTGGCGGACAACACAAAGCATATATTTCCAAACTTGTTTAACGATGAAGAGTTTTAACAAATGATGCGTGTTGTGACTTCGTGATGGTTGAGCTTTGTATGCCAATTGGAAAGCAGCCTGCTTTTCTTGCCTACATATACAAACAAATCCCCACATCTTGCTACGACAGCCAAGCTCTTGTCACTCCAGAAAATGCCAAGAGACTCGTTATAATATGTAAAATTAGATTTAATAAAGAACTTCCATGTAATAATACAGAGAAGATGAATGAACATTTTATTTCATTCAATGGCTTCCCTGCCGGCCTGCCTTCTTGTCATGCAACACAAGGCCCAGCTGGCGGTTCTTCTTAAAGGCCACAACACCCAGACTCAGGAAAGCTCCAGCCATGGGCCTGTATGGCCCTTGCATTTGAGAGTAAAAACTGGCCTTATTCTACTATTTTGATTTGAGTTTGCAAGTTGGGTATAGCTCAGTTTGTTGAATTCTTTCATCTTCACTCAAGTGGGCAGAGATTCGAAACATCAGACACCTAATGACTATTTGTATAAAACTCCCCTCCCCAAATTGTTTGTAAAAAAAAAAAACTCATACAACTGAGTATAGGGATGAACATATATATATATATATATTTATATAAGGGTTGGATAGAAAGTCAAACATAACTATTTGTCGGGAAAATGATTGATTAGAAAGGGTTGAGTAGAAAGTCCAACATATTTGCTTTAGGTTTTATCGCTCATTTGATTGATGATCTTTAGGATTCAAGTTCATCATTTTTCAGCTCTATCAACTGAAGCCCATTATTAGGATCATGTTCACGCACCTGATTACCCTAACTAAAATTATGTTTCATTCAAATTACACCCATCCCATCCTTCTATCTTTGTCAACAGAATGCAAGCAAGCCCTACAACTTTGTGTGTTCTTTTTATTTTTCGGCTGATAGCTACTTTACCCATTTGACCAAATGGATTTTGATGATATAACAAAAACATCGTCTCCCTTAAAAAACTTGAAAAAGGTTCATGGACACTCATCCAAAATAGTGTTTTCCCATCCTAAAAAGCATGCATAGTATTTCAACCTAATTGAATAATCCAATGAATGATAAAACGAATTAAGTATCGGCCAATAAGAAATGCTCTAATGATTATGGCTCCATAACTAAATATAAATATATTCAAGTTAGGTATTGCACCTCCTCCATTGGCCCCATAAGCCACATGGTTTGTATGTGGAGAAGCCCGGCAGGGTTTCAAAAACGTTAGTCTCCCTTAGAAAAGAAGCTCGAGAAAAGTTAAGATAAGTGAGTGCTTCTGAAATGGCTAAAAGTGTTTTTGACAATCAAAAGCATTTCTTACATTGTTTGGTAGAAAAGTTTAGAAGTGCTTCTAGGTCATAGAAGCGATTTCAAGAGAAGCATCTGCTTTGTGCTTCTTCCGAGAGCATTCCCAAGTGTTTGCCCATGAAGCACTTGGATTTCTTATGAAAATTTCAACATCTAAATTTATAATAAAAGTGCTTTTACTAGAAGCACTTATGAGCGGAAGTGTTTTCTAAAGAAGCAGTCGTAAACGAGCTTATTAATTGAAAAGAAAAAAAGAATATGGAAATTTGTATGTATATATAACCAGAAACGGGAAATTAATTGGAACCTTATCTTACAAGGAAGAATGGTTGGGAGGGATTGGGACTAACAACAAAATAGTCCAAGAAAACATTTCACTCTCAAGGCCCCGCCAACTTGGGGAGGCTATACATGTAGGTTTTCTTTATAGCATACCTCCTTTTTATGGTAATTGCTTAAGTATTTCAAATATGTTTTTATTTAGTAAGAGTTTGAACCATTAATTTCTTAATGATCTTAATTGCTGAACTATACATGCATTATAGATATATGTATACATATAGCCTACGGATTAATTAGCAAATTGGGTTGTGCTGGTCACAATCATGTTGTCAAGTCCATTTGTCACAAAAATCTGGAAGGATCTATTGGCTGAAAGCAACCCTGCAAACCTTGGACCAGCCTATTTCACTTAGAGCTGTATATCATTAACTCATGATCATCAGTCATGACATGCGTGGTGATGGAGTC